ATTTCTTAGTCTATATCTTCTGTTGTTTTCCCTTGTAGGTTAATCGAGTGGTGATTACTTAAGTCGTCTTTGAAGCTGTCCCAGTCTGTTTTACTCATTTTCAGTCTCTTTTTTATTGGTATCTGTATGGGGCTTGTTGACAGTGTTAGTATAATTGGCAGATGGTCACTGCCTGTATTATATGGTAATTGAAAAAGGCTTTGTTGTTGGTAAAAATTTTGTCTGGTGTCGATTGTGTATTGTGATTTCTCCAGGTTGGAAAGTTAGAACCCAGATGATTGATTTTCCCTAAATTTATTAATTGATTAAGGGCGTTTCCCACGACGTTATTATTTGTATTGTCAAAAATCCTATGTCTGGCGTTAAAGTCTCCTAAGATGTACATCGGATGACTATTGTTAGCCAATTTTAATAGGTCTTCTATAGGTAAGTAGTAGCAATAATTACGTCTCCTTGAGTTGTATTTATTTTTATTGCTAGAAATTCATCCTGGAAGTCATCAATTAGTTTAAATTTTAAGTTTCTTTTAACCGCTATCGCTACTCCGTCATTTTTCTCGCCCGATTTATTTCTTTGGTTTACATAATAGTTAAAGAGTTTTATGTTGTTGTTTTCTGTCTCACCGTGACTGTTTATTAGTATACTGTCAGGGTCAATTTCGCGATATATATTACTTAGGTTAATTCTCTCGGTCTTCCAGTTTCTTACGTTGTGTTGTATTATTCTTAAAGTTCTTACTGTTTGTCTATTGTCCATTATTTCTTATACTTGGATTGTGGCAGTCAGTTGGAGTGGAGACCTATCATCCTGTTTCCCGCTTCTGACTCTTCTATACTCTGACGGGTCTACTATTTTAAAGTCTTTGGCCGTAATCTTTAGTTTGTCCGTAGTAATTAGTGACCAGACATAATCTTCACTTAGGGATTTTTCTTGATATGTCCACTTGTATATCCCTCCTTCACAGTTTTTTATTATTGTCCCTCCTGTTGGTCTCGATGTTGGGATTCCTTATGTTTTATTGTAGTGATAACTTTTTAATCCAATTTCCTTTCAGCAGGATTCAGGTTGTATATTGTGATCAGTTTCCATCTTTATCTTTCTCTCCTCCTACCCTTTTGTCTGTCCTTTTTTTATTTCTATCTTCTCTTTGTCACTTCTAGTCATTTGTCTGGGATCTCTATCAGTCGCTTGTGTTCCTTGTGTATCAGCTGTTGCTCAAACCTTTGTTCGTCTTGATGTAGTCTTTCTCTCAGTTCGCTTGCATATGTTGTCTGAAATAGTTTTTCGGATTGTGGATTCTCTGGAAATATCATCTCTGGTAGGTTATTCAATTTAAACATTTTCCTTAATTCCTCATTGTATGATCCGGGTGCAATGATATTGTGCAAATGTACATGGATCATACTAATCATTACCTTATCATGTATTGGCTCACTTAGGTTTAATATGGTGGATTCTGGTCTATGAGCCTCTTGGACCGCTCTCTTTGCTATTTCGACGTATGTCGTATCCTTCTTGTCTTGTTCCTTTTTCCTTGTTTCTTGTTCCTTGTACTTTATCATGTGTTTTTTATTGGGCATGCCATTGCTAACGTCCTATGTCCTATGTATACATTCCCGTTTCTCTTACAGTTGAGACAGCCAACATGTGTATTCTTACATTCAGTGTAGGTATGGTCGTCGCCTGCACAATCTGAGCAGTACTTTTTTTTCTTTTTCCGGACAGTCTCTCGTTGTGTGTTCTTCATATTTGTAGCAGGAGAAGCAAGTTTGCAGACTGATGAATGTCTCCTTCTTTATTTGATGTGGTGTGACTGACATGTTGAATATTAGAAAGCCCTGGTGTAAAACTTTCTCAGCCATTGACACTTCTTCAAACATGAGTATAGTCCTTTATCTTAATGACTTCTTCAATCTTCATCCACCTATTTTGGCGTTCCAGTTCTTCTTTCAGGTCTTCCTCCCGATCTCTTGATCGACTTGACGAACAAAAACTGATCTTTTTGCTTTTTGTTCTGGTGGCATGACAACAATAAGGCCTTCATTGTAAAATATATCTCTTGCTTCTTTTGAAAGGATTTTATCTGAATCAAAGTCATCTTTACAGATTACTTTAAAACCTTCATTGGTGCTGAATATTCTAGTTAGTGGGACTTGCAGTTTGTTGTAAGTGATTTCTGCCACTTTTCCCCTTCCAATAGAGTGTCCCTTATCTCTATGTTTTATTCTAATGCTAGTTGTCATCTTCTTGATTACATCTAATCCTACCTATAACACAGGGCTCCTGCCTGGGAGCAGTGACCCCGCCCCCCCCCCTCTTGGATGGGCGTCGGGCTCGTAGGGTTCTGCACCCAGGTTACCTGTGACTATAGTTATGTCTAAGAAAGTTGCCACCTACCGGTGACCCCCGGACAAGGGGTGCCCTGCACTATCACAGGTTCCCTTGCCGGATCGACCGTATCGCTAAGTCCCGCCTCCCGTTCAAAGAACGGAGTGCATGAGGGGGATGAAAAAAAGGAAAGAAGAGGACTTAGAGAGTAGAAACAGCCTACCTACCACGCCACGTTCGGTCAGCCAATCAGAGCACCGCAGTAAACGTGCATGTATCACGCCACCGTGGGGCACCACTGATTGGCCAATCCAGGACGTAGACGCGCGGGTAGTAGTCAAAATTTGGGTAGGCCAAATATTTGTTTTTTCCAAAGTTGGAATTTCCCGTACAATCTGTGATGGTAATTACACCGTCACTATGTTGAGTAAGTACAATCACTAGGATTGAGTGTCTTATCACAACAAAGTTGCAGACTCAAACATGCAGCAAAAGAATCAGGTCTTCGCAGCTCCGTGTCTATTTTACTTAGGCTAGCATACCTAAGTTAAAGCAAACTCCCCTTGCCAATACAAGAAGGAAGAGGATTTCTTATAGTCTAATAAACAATTCATCATGACCAAATACAGTATCTAACACAGGGGGTCCGGGGGCGCAGCCCCCGGTTAGCAAATTCAACCATTTGATTGTATTTATCTCTGAGAATAGTTAGCAATTATCCATTTGATTGCATTTCATCCCAGGTTAAGGGGGGTTGTGTGTGGTCTCCATATCACCAGATTTATTAAAAATCCCCTACGGCCAGGCTAAAACAGTTTAGGCTAGATAGTGGCTGCTTGGATTATTTCTTTGTCTCTTATTGATTTCTGCGGCTAACCTCTATAAAAATTGAGGACACCAATAGACTTTTGTACTAAGGTTAGTTAAACAGACACTTTTGTTGTAATGGAGGATTTCGCCATCGGGGAGCGTGACGAAACCCCCGCGAAAGTAGTGGTTAGGTTAGGGTGTCTGGTAGTGGTTGGTTAGGTTGCCTGTATTATTATTATTACAGTAAAATTTAAGGTCCCCGTTAGGATTTTACTACTTATCAGGCTAAACAGTTTAGGCTGCTTGGATTATTTCCTTGTCTCTTATTGACTTCGGGTGGCTAACCTCTATAAAATTGAGGACACCAATAGACTTTGTACTAAGGTTAGGTTAAACAGACACTTTTGCTGTAATGGAGGATTTCGCCATCGGGGAGCGTGACGAAACCTCCGGCGAAAGTAGTGGTTAGGTTAGGCGGCCCGGTAGTGGTTAGGTAGTTGCCTGTATTATTATTATTATATAAAATTTAA